CCGCGGCGGAGCCCGGAACCTGTCACCCCCCTCACCTCGCCCTCCTTCGCTGTCCCGGGCCGACGCCCTGCGCCCGCTTCGGGTGGAAACGTGGGAGCCGGCGTGAACCGCCCTAGCTGCCCAGCCCCGCGCTCTGGGGCTCTGGGGCTGCTCGGTTCACTCCTTGCGGGATCTCGGGTGCCCTAGACTTTGAACCGAGCTGACTTCATCACTGTCGCTCGGCCTTGGGAGTTACAGAGGTGAAGGGGAAAGTGCCAGGTTAAAGCGAATGCCTTGGGTCTGAGTTACTGATCCAGCTCAGTTTTCAGACCAGACTGATCCCACACCGCGGGGCTTCCATTCTTCTAGTCGTGTTTGCCCCTTCTTGGGAAAGGAAATGTCACAGAAGTTATAGTGAATCCACTTGTATCACTGGGGAAGAAGTGTTGAATTCACATTATCACATGAACTTCCCTAACCTCTACATCACAAACCCATGGGTAATTAATTAGCCAAGTTAATTTCAAAAACGTTTTTGATTAAAATATGAATGCATGTTAAATCTTCCTTTCCTCTTCAGTAGTAATCATCATTTCAGAAAACTGTCTATTTTAAGCTGACAGATAGGAATGTTAGAGTTAGATGGGACCTGTAGTTTTATAGCCCCAATCCCTCATCTTACTGATGTAAAAATCAAAGATAAGGGAGACAAAGCTGTTTTCCAAATCTTCAAGATGCTCATTAGTGCAACTCATTGAGGATTTTACAGCTGAGAAGTAGGAGAGACACATTAAACTGTCTAGCAACAAATGCATCTGATTGAAAGGAATTCAAATTTTACTTGTAATCTTGTATGTTTTTCAATTGAGAATGTATAAAAGGGCTAAAATTGAAATAGTGAAAAACTAACTGAAGGAATTCCTTCTAAGATACTTATTGTACACTAGGTTAAAGTGACATTGCTTTGCTTCTTTGTTTTTAGTCCTATCGAGAAATTATTCAATTAAAATTTCAGTACAATTCAAAAGATTATAAGTTGTACTGAAAATGGAGCATATCTTTAGAATGGTCTATTTATTTATTTAAAAATCAGCTTATTAAGTGTGCCTTCTAATATAGTATTTATTTATTTTTTTGGTACCAGGGATTGAACTTGAGTCCTTGTGCTTGTGAACCACTGAGCTAAATCCCTGGCCCTAATATTTGGTTTTATGCTTTTATGTGAACATGTTAATTTTAGGGGATAGAGTGCTTGTCAGATGACATTTTACATAAAACTAGTTTGTAGAAGGACTTTTGGACTTGAATTAATGATTTTAACATTGAGCAGTTTCTACTTTTGAAAGGTGAGGGAAGAGAAGATGTGTGGATGGCTATGTAATTAGACCAATTAAGACGAAAACAAGGGGGACTTTCATCAAACTATTGCTGGGAATTAAGAATGTAAGCAACAAACATAGTGGATGTGATTTACTGAGCAAATAGAATATTACAGCAAAATGATTGAGAGACAAAAATATGAGAATTGTGCTCTAATATCACTTAAGTGATGCTGTCTTAATAAAAAGTAAGAATGTGGAATTACAATCCATCCTGCTATTTGTTGTAGAATCCTAAACCAGGCTGTTGACTATGTAAATATCTTCCTGCTAAGACTCCTAGAGCTTTTCTTAGTGAGGTTCCCTAGCCATCTTGAGGCTATGGTTTACAGGATCCCTTTATATTTTTCAATATTATTTGAGGATCTAAAGCAAAACAGCTGTTTTAATAGAAGGTAGGTTTTCATGACTACTTCTGCAGTCTGTTGAAATATGCTGTATGAAGCAAATTTGGCTTTATATAGAAACAGTTGGAAGAAGGAGATTTAAAAATAGCTTTTTCAGATAATTATGCATTTTTTCATTTGATATCACACCAAATCCCAGTAGTTTTAATTGAGACATTAAAGGTTAATTCCAATTTGGAATCTGAAACCTTAAAAGCAAATATTTTGCATTCATATTAAAACCCATTGATTATCCTTCACTTTGAATGGTTTATCTACCATATATGGTATTGTAGGATCATAAATTGACCATTTGTGAGATACTGCTTCACTGAGTAATGTGTGTATTCTAAATTCTCAAGTTTCATTATACAGTTTTAAAAAACCACATTAATTCAATCACAGCTCTCATCAGGAAAATGTTTACATATTAGGAAGGTATCAAGCTCTTGTATGGATTCAAGATTGTAAAAACTTTAATATTCCCTTTCAAGCTGAAATTGTATTAATAGCAACAAATATTGTTCATTGTTATCCTTGAAGTAATGTGATAGGCTTATTTTGTCCAAATTGAGAAAATGTGTGAAGTTTTTTTTTTTTTGTTTTGTTTTTTTGAGACAGGGTCTCACTACGTAGTTCAGATTATTCTGGAACTCACTGTGTAGCTCAGGCTGCTCTCGAACTCACAGCAGTCCTCCTGCCTCAGCCTCCCAAGTGCTGGGTGAAGTACTTCTTATATAATGTTTTTGGGAGAATGGAGACAGTAATGACTGAAAACATTTTTTTGTATTTTGTGTTTCAATGAATAACCATGATTGGTTTAGTGTGTTTTAATGGGTATTTTAATGCTTTTTGGAGAAATGTTTTAGATTACAGGTGCAATCATAAGTGCAGAAAATTTAATTTGCCTTTTTGTTCAGGAGAAATAATGGGAGGGTGGGCTGGGGATGTAGCTCAGTGGCTCTGTAACCTGCCTGGGAAGCACAAGGTGAGTTAAATTCCCGGCACTCCCCCAACACAAATAATAACGGGAGGGATTACATAGTCCTAGAATTTATAATTACATTTGTAACATGGAAGCTGTTTAGTAAAACTAGATATTTTTCCTCTTTGAAGGAAATTGTTATTTTTCTCATTGATTTTTTTTTTCTTTTTTCTTGTTTTTTTTTTTTGATGCTGCAAGTTGAACCCAGGGCCTTCACACTGAGCCACATCCCTATGCCCTTTCTTTGTTTTCTTTTGTTTTTGAGACAGAGTCTTGCTAAGAGGCCCACATTGGCCTCCAACTTGAGATTCTCTGGCCTCAGTGTTCTCTGTAGCTGGGACCAGACCTTTGTTTTATCATTATCATTCGAAAGTCACTTTTTCTTGAAAACTCATACTCCTATATTTACACTGTAGTTTAGTCTTAGGATTCTTCTCTATGAATTATACACCTGTGAAATATATATGCACATTTGATTAGTGTAATATTCTCTGGTTGTCTGAAAGATTCTTACATGATAGAAATAAGGCAGTTTTTCGTTAATATTTTTCTTATTGCTTTTAAAGATAAGAATAGAAAGTTCTTAGCTGCTTAAAATACTTAGATTGTTGAGCTTCTTTTACTGTTATCTGTATATCGAAGTCTATTTGGAAACTTTTCTAAAATTAAAATTGCTTTACCTAAATTTATATTTCTTCTTCCTTCACAATTTTAAATTTTTAAAAATTTTTGAGACTGGATCTCCTTTGTAGTGCAGGGTGGCCTTGAACTCACTATATAGCCCAAGTTGGCCTCAAACTCCTGGCAATCCTACTGCCTCAGCCTCCAGGAAGTGCTGGGATTATAGGCATGTGCCTCCATGCCCAGCTCCTAAGTTTCTTTTCTCACTGTTTTTCTTAGCAACTTTAACATCCATGTTGGTTCTTCTGACATCCTAGGTTTATAATTCTTCAGCTCTTTTAACTTTGCCCTTCATTGCTACCACGTAGCATTTTAAACTCTATACCTCCTACACTTTTGGGTTCTGCAGCCTCCTTCCGTGACTACTGTTATAATTTGAGAACATGAGCTCTTAGAAGGATGCCTAGGTGGGAAAGCTCACATCCTAGGTAGGGAGTTAGTAACAGAATGGAGCTGTGCCTTGATGCTAGACCCTTCCCAGAGTGGCCTCCTCTTCCTCTGGTGGTAAACTTAAATTATTATATTGGAATGGTATATCTCAAATTAGAGTTTAAAACATTCTCATAAGTTAGAATGTAAACATTTTCTTGTATTCTTTTTGCAGAAGGTTATAGGATAGGTAAATCATAGAATACCACATAACAAGCATTGTTTATTGTGTCACAAATATCTTACGTTTGCACATTAAAAAGTTACTTGTCTAGTGCATGTATACCTAGTTTTAGAAAAATCATTTTTGTTATGTGTTATTAAATATTCTCTTATAGAAAGTTTATTGGAACTTATCATTTCTGGGCAGAAACCATGTGAGTTTAGAGTTTATGATTTTGGTATCTACTTTGAAAACAGTGCCATTTACAAAGCTGATATTGAAAGCATAAGATCTAGGTTTATGCTGGGCACGGTGGTACATGCCTGTAATCCCAGCACTGGGGAGGCAGGAGGGTCACTGTGAATTGGAGGCCTTCCTGGGCTGCATAGTGGGTTCCAGGCCAGCCTGAGCAAGATGCTGTTTCAAAAAACCAAACCAAACCAAACCAAAACAAAAAAAACCCCTCCAAAAACCAAAAAGGATTTAGGTTTTCCATTCCTGCCCACTTTTGCCTGTTTTCCTTATACATCTTTAAATAAACACCTTAGGACATTTACTATTTTTTGCCATACTTTACAAAAGTAAATAAAAAGGGTAAAATAACCCTTCTCATTTGGCCTAATGAGCATTTGGGGCCTGAGCCATTACTTTTAAGTAGAGTTACTGTTGCTTGCTAATTGCTTTCTGTGATAAATATTTGGATTGGCCATGATTTATAATATGTTAGCATTGTTGACTTTGGGAAAACTTATTTTTAATCTTTTTAAGAGGATGCTGGATATTAAAATATCTTTTGATTTTGTTACAGAAATAAGAATCAAGCTGTACAATGACAACCTATTTGGAATTCATCCAACAAAATGAAGAACGAGATGGAGTCCGATTTAGTTGGAATGTTTGGCCATCAAGTCGACTGGAAGCCACCAGAATGGTTGTTCCGGTGGCAGCCTTATTTACACCACTGAAAGAGAGACCTGACTTACCTCCCATTCAGTATGAACCTGTTCTGTGCAGTAGGACCACCTGCCGGGCAGTTTTGAATCCTTTATGGTAATTAACGTAACGGGGCCAAAACTAACGTGGTGATGCAATTCAAAGGTGTAGTTTTTCCGTAGTCATTCATATAAACATGCTTTTGTTTTTGTTCATAGTTTTAAAAATTAAAGTAGTCAAAGAAACCCAAAAAGCTGTAAAGTTTTAGGATCATCCATGTTGTAATGAGCTGATAATATAAAAGAAACCAAATATAAAAGTGTCACCTTAGGCAGGTGTGGTGGCGCACGCCTGTAATCCCAGTACTCCGGAGGCTGAGGCAGGAGGATCACTGTGAGTTTGAGACCAGCCTGGGCTACACAGTGAGTTCCAGGTCAGTCTCAACTACATAAGGAGACCCTGTCTCAAAAAACCAAAAAAACTAAACCAAAACAAAAAACAACATTATAAAAGTGTCACCTTAAAGGGCACTAGGTTCTGTCAGTGTTTGCTAGGTACTGGTATTAGTTGTAAATCAACCCACTTTTGTCATTAGTAAAGTCACAGTTAAGTGGCACAGTGTTTGAAAAGTGTTAAGATTTCTTGTAGATTAAGCCAAAATCTTAGGAGTATTTTTTTATTCCTTCTTCTGCTTCCTCTGTCTGATTCAGTAACAAAATGGATCAGACCTTATACTCTACTTACAAACAGCACTGTCTTTTTTTGGATAGAATCATTTTTTTCTAATTGGATCCCTGTCTTCACCCTTGTCTTTCAGCAGTCTATTCTACCTAGAAGCTGCACTTTTATCAGTGGAAGTCAGGTTATTAAAGTCTTGTACTTGCATTTTATTATACTTGCAATGAATAATCCAAACCCATCATCAAAACCTATAAGGCTCCATGTGATCCAGCCTCTGTATATATTTCTCCCATCTTGCATAATCTACCTTATATTTTAATCTACATATCTTTTCCTCTTTTTGATCCTTGAACATAACCAAGCTTATTCCTACCTTGTAACTTGTGCAGTAGGTGTGCATTCTTCCTGAATTGCTCTGCCTTTAGATTTTTCTGTAACTGATTCCTTTCCATGCAAACTCTCTACTTAGAAGGCTTTCCTTTAAAGTAGCTACCCATACACAGTCTCATATCCTGCTTTGTTTTCTTTAATATTTATTATTATCTAAAAGTATTTTTTTGTGTACACATCTGCTTGTCTTTTCTAAAATGTAAACTCTGTGATAGCAGGTGCCTTTTCTATCTTGTTTACTGCTGTATCACCAACAAAAGAAATAATTTTTTTTTTTTTTTTGAGACAACCTCTTGCTATGATATCCAGGCTGGTTTCAAACCCCTGGATTGAAGTAATCTTCCTGCCTGGCCTCTGGAGTAGCTGGTTTTAGAGGCATATCTCTCTGCACCCAGTATGTGTGTGTGTGTGTGTGTGTGTGTGTGTGTGTGTGTGTGTGTGTCTTTGATTTTCAAATCATTTTGTCATAACTCGTAAGAAATACAGTTTATGGCATAATTTAATATTCATTCTATTCTCAAATATAACCGTTTCACACAGTCGTACTTAACTTTCACTGTGTGTTCTG